TCCAGCCTTGGCTGGGCTGGAGGGAAGCGTTTTCCATTTCTGAATCACGGATCAGAATCTTCTTTGGGAGTTAGACATCTGGGATGTTTCTCTGTTTTCCTGTTTCTCCTGCTGTCCCTCCTGTCACATATTAATCTTCTTTTCTTCCTCCTCAGCGTGACTAACTCTCACTCAAGCCCTAAAACAAAGAATAAACCAGTGAATGGGGTTATTTCCCTGTCCCTGACTCTGAGCCATGTTCCCACCTACTCTCCAAGAGGCCTGAGAAGAGCAGATTGCTGCTAACTTGCAACCTATATGCGTACCCTTAAAGAGGGCTCAGTTTGCATTTCAGGGAACATGCTTTTCACTGATCAAAGCATTGTCCTCACTTAATTTGTATATTCAACTGCATTTGTGAGCCAATTTACAAGAGAAGTTCATACCAGACCTCGCTGTATATACCTCTTTATGTTGTAATTACACACCAATAAGATACTATAGTTCTCTTGCTTGTAAAGGACAGGCCTTGTTTCAGCTTCCTATTTAAACTGAGCTTTCCTGCTACAGACAAAGGAGACAGAAATTACAAGCAAGTGGCTGCTGAAGACGGCGAGACTGTAAATGACAACGTATGCACCCTTGAGCAGTTTACGATAGACGTTGTCACTTCTGTGGTAGTGCAGCGACAGAATAAAATCAGTGTTTCAGTGGCTAAAATTCAGCCTGAGGAAGTAGCAGTGGCAGCACTGGAGGTCAGAGTAGTTAGTAGGAAGTGAAAGTACACTAATGAATTCTAGAGGGCTTGTAATGCCATAAGAGATTCAGTTAATCTGCAGCATAGATGTTGATCAGCGAGACTGAACCTAGCTCTCTGGACCTTGGCAGATGTATTCTGTGCGTGTCAGTGTTCCACACCAATTACAGATTTTAGAAGATGCTCTCATGCAAAACTATATGCCCTAATATATAAGGCAGCTCAGATGTAACTAAAATTAAAATCTGACTGTGGCAAATCTCTGTGATCCTGATATATGAAAAT